CCGGCGTCGGAAGCTAGCGCGCGACGCGACGCGACGCGACACGACGCGACGCGACGGCGCCCGCTGCGTTTAGACGTCGTAAAGCCGGCGCGCAGCGAAAGCGGGTGTGTGCGCGGATGCGTGGATGGGCCACTGCGTGGTCGGGGACTGCGGGTCGCGGGTGCTTCCCGATCGCCCGGAACACGAAACGAGAACGTGGCTCTTTAACAAGAATGAAACGAGGCTCGCCGTTCGATGAAATGATGCGTGCTGCAATCTTCTGGGGTTTTCAACTGTGGATCCCAGACGTTTTGGATCATTTATTTTGTAATCTGTAATCGGGCGGAATTCTGTTTATATGTCGGTCATTTTCAGTGTTTGGTCAACAACACGAATAAACCGATGTCGAATGATGCTTTACGGATCACTGTTTTACGAATCGTTTTTCTGTAACGCAAAAACACAGCGATGGATGCGACATTCATGCTACGATTTATTGAAATGACAACGTTTTACTTTGTTCAGAATATCTCTCTAGGGGAGTACTGCACTCCCTATGACACAATTCTTGTAACTGTTCTGTTTGAAAAGAGATTGCTAGGGGGGAATGTGTGCTTTTCCAAATCGGTTTTCCTAGAATAGTAAGCGAACAACGCGTTCGAAGTAAATACAACTGTATGAATATGATACGCTTTCCGTTACGCACCAACCGAGAGCTCAACGGTTCTCAAGAATGGAATATTTTATCTGCCGTTGTTTTTCTTGGTTCACGTTCTCAGTTATTCAAATTTGTGATAACCTGATGCTTTTTGTGGTTTGCAAACGCGGTCATGTTAGTATCGTGTGATACCCGGACAAACATTTTGCGCATCCTTTCCAGTATGCGCGCTGGGTCTTTATCGCGCAATGGCACAGTGAGCCGCTACAGACGCGAAGGAAGGCAGGTGTGCGTTGCGTGGGTGCGTGACTGTGTGGGAGGGGCCTCTCCGGGGCGACGGGAGGTGCCCGCGCATGTCGCCCTGCCCGTCGCGAGCCGCGTTGTTCGTAACGACGCGCGTTTACTCAGGACGCCGACGATTGTTCTGTCGGCCGTTCTGGGAGCGACGCGATATTATGCAAAGTTATTCAGCTACGTTACCCAAGAAATCGTAGGCACGCTCTCTGTTTTAAATCTTTTCTTCATTCGCCCGATGCGCGGTGCGGGGCAGAACATAACGCATACAATAACGCGGGGATGCAGCATCAAGAGAGAGTGGACTGTTGCTAAGTTGAAGCGTTTTTCTGAGAGACCTTTATGACACACGCATTATACACTCCTCTCTGGCATGAATACTTCTATTCTCTTGTCGAGATGATATCGTATTTCATTTCAACGGGTCTATGCCGTTTCGCCGTTTGGTGGGTCTCGCTCTTTGGTGCCCCTAGAATACCAGAATTGCTTCCAAAATGTAATCATCAACATCTTAATTGGATATTGGCTTGGCTGCATGTTAATGCATCACATGAATGCGTCTGACGCACACGGCTATATCTGCAATTCATTAAGCGCTAACAGGATATGGAAAAAACAACTAAGTGAATAAATATGCGCTGGAATTTAGAAATCGTAATTCGTGAATACTAAGTTTTGTTCGTGAGAACTTTCAGAAACATGGTGCCATGAGCCTCTATTTGTACAGACATTTTCACATTTCTTTCATTCAGTTTTACATTCAGTACTTGGTGTAGTATGTGTTTTGATACCCTGAAAACTGGAGAGGCGAAGTTCCGTCCAGCGTTAGATGGTTCTTCCTAAAATTTCATTTGCCGTATTTTGTATCTCGTTCCAAAATACGATAAAGAATAAAACGATTTTTTGTTTGAGACAATTTTTTTAATGAAATTCTTCCCTCGATTTCAGTCAATTATAAGTCATCGATTGGTAGGATTAGTCTGATAGGTAGGATTAGAATTTCATAGAAAGTCCTAAAATTTCCCTCTTTTTTTCACAATATAGAATTCTTTGTGCGTGTTTTGTCCCTGATGTAATGAAGCCTCGCACTTTCGTGCTACACTTTCTGTGTGAAGAGTTAACGGGTCGTAAATCCGGACGTTACTGCGTGATGTGCGTAGACGTGATGCGAGAGTGCGGGCGTGGCCTGTGAGGCGTTGAAGCGACATTCCTCTCTCCACCGCCGCGCGATGGCATTCTCAGCGTGTCAAGTTAAACACCCGAGTCCATAAAAGTGGAAGAGGGCGGGGCGGGGCGTGGCGTGCCGTGGCAGCAGCAATGGTGACCGGGCCGGCTGGCACGCTCTAGTCGACAAGACACACGCGATGCGTTTCGATCCCATTATGATGAGTGAACGAGAGCGACTTGTCTGTGTATTTAGCCCATTTCGTTTGGGATCATTCAAAGAATAAAAAAAAACTAATATCACGTTTGTAATGACGGGCACAGTCCGCACGGTTACATTATTAATTCGACGGCTATCGCCCTCAATCTTAAACTAAAGACATGGGATTTGTGGGGCGCGGGACAATGGCTGGGTAATTTGTTCAAGAGGCAAACTGCTGAAGATCGGGTGGTCTCGTTAACTTCGGACCCGAAGCGAGCTGTGGAAACGCACACGACATAATTTAAAAGTAATAGAAATTCATCACGCCACAGGGTCGCTGCATGCGCGTCAAATCGCTGGAGGGCCCGGAGGCGGAGATGGGGTTAGGGGGGTCGGGGTGAGCCGGTTGGCCGGGGGCACGAGGGGCGCTGTGCTGGCCTTTGGAGCGGGTTAAGGCGGGAGGGGTACGAGCGAGAGGGGGCAGGGGGCTAGGCCTTAGTCCTGTGTTGCCGAGAGGAGCAGCTGCCGAGAGGATCGCGCAGTGCCACCCGAGTTTGCTCAGCTGTGACCGAACGACCACATAACTTGGCACGACTAGTTTCCTCGCATTTTTGACCCCCTTCCCTGCCCCTCCCGACAAATGTAAATATGTCAGAAAATTCTACGCGAGCAAATATGTCATCATGATGTTGCGTAAATGCTATTTGAGCGTTAGTGGAAGTTTTAGAGTAAGCAACTATCACGAAATATGTAATTAAAGCTGTTGAATACCCCAGGGGGAAACTGTTTATGCATGCCACCATTCAATAAGTGTGAATTGTGTTTCAGTTTTGCCCTGCACACGAGGTTAAATGTTTCGCAGA